TAAATCAAACCAAACTGAGCAGAAAGGCTCCTGTTACATAATACATATTAAAAAGTTTAGTTGTGAGACGTGCTCAGCTAGTCTCGTGCACTAAGAGGGTGAGGCGGGCTGTAATAGCAGGAGTTGAAAGATGAAAGTAAACTAAAGATGTTTGGCAATATTCCCTTTAAAACAGTGAGAAAGAGGAAAAAAAACAGTAGATGCAGACACACTTATTCACATTAAACCTAGGTACAAGAAAAATATTTTCTTAAATCTTTGACCTGTTTATTTGAATCATTAACTCTTCCTCACATTTACGATAAGTCGAACACACTGACATGCACCTAATAAAACTATATGATGTTGCATACCTAATAAAAATGTTCTCCAAAATCCTTCATGGACCATGAGCTTGATTCAATGAGTCTGAATATTGAAAGATTATTCACAAAGATATTTTTACTGTTGCAACAGGTCAAAAAGACCCGAGCATCATACGAAGAGTAACTGCAGGTGCTACAAATTGTTGCAAAAGCTTTTAATAGTCACATAAAAGAACAACTGTGATGAATTTGGAAAAAAAAAACCTCGACACTGCTTCAGCTTTCTTTATCACGCAGGTAAATCTGAAATCAGAGTTGATGTTCTTTGTTCGCTTTGTCATTAAGTCGCTTCTCTACTGAGCCTAACTCCAGAAGAGAGATCATTTTTAAAAAATGCATATTTTCTTTTCCCTTCTTGTTCAAAAAATATATCTCAATTTGACAAAATGTAGTTTATCTTGTGCACTTTTTTCATGACTAGGTTCGTAAAAGTGTGAAAAAGGTTAGTCTGATAGATAAAGGGAGTTTTTGAAGCATTTCAAAATCAAAAATTGGGAAAGGAAATTGAGCTTGTATTTGATTTGAGGTTGCACCAATAAGAACATTGCTTTATCCATGTAGAGTTTCAAGTATTTTGCCCCCCTGGCTTCACGTGGTTTATTTATAGATGTAAATGTAAAGTAAGACTGGAAAGTGGAGAGTTTTCATCACTAGAAGAAGAGGTCAAACTCTTCTCTTTCTTGTTGATATTGTCCTTACAGCACCATCTTAGGATCATCTGATGTGAGTCACTCCACTGGATACACATATGCAAATGTGTTTTATTCATTTGTCAGCAAAATACTCTTTACTCTGGTTCTTATCATTATACCTGAAGCACAGCACATGTGCATTCCTGACTCAAATCGAAACGTGTCTAGGTCCTCCTGCTATTGTTTGACATTTGTAACTTATTTCAGTGGGACTGAAATAAAGCCTAAATCTCAGGATAAAATCCTTTTCACACAGTGGTTGTGCCACATCGGCTCAGAGAAGACGTCCTTGTTAAGCTGCTGCTGTTCCACTTATGGTAATTTAGTCAGATCATATAGAGGTGGCTTGTCAGCGCATTAGTTGAATCTACTTATACACATCAGGGCGAGGGGTGCGTGTGTGTGGTGGGGGTGGGGTGGGGTTCAGCTGAATGACAACAGCGTGCTCGGTTAGGGCAAAATGTTCCCTGGTGTTGAATTCCTCCTCTGAACAGATTCGTGATAGCTTGTAAGTACTTCTATTTCTGGTTCAGACATCCATCAGCACCATATCAACTTGGACCTTCCATTCCACCTCAGTACTTAAACTCAGGATAGAAATGCACAGCAAGGTTGGGATTATGGGGAAAGGGGAGTTGTTTCACCCCCTTAATTAACCTATTCTAGAACTGCGCTGCTCGGGGTGGCTGCATGTTGTAGCTCTGTTACATTCGTTCTGAGATTTTGCTTTTGGAAACTTTAATTCCTCTTTTGCTAGATGTAAATCACATTTTTTAAATGGTTGTTTCTTCTGGTATCAGATGCTGTGCAGCTGGAAGGATTTTTACTGAAACTCTTTTTAGTTTTGGACAGCTGTTATGATGCGTAACCATGTTGTTGTCATGGTTACGCAGGTGGGTTTTTTTTTTTTTACAACTGGGAGCAGCTAATTAACACCTCAAAATAATATCTCGGCTACAGCCCCAAATATCAAATGAGTGGAAAAGGAGGAACCATGGATGCATTCCCATCTCACTGCCGGCTGTGCTCGAGTGCCTGACCACTAAGATCTTGGAACTAGCAGGAAACAGCAGAAGGACAAGGATCATCCCCCGGCACCTGCAGCTGGATGACCACAGCGATGAGGAGCTTGGCAGGCTGCTGGGAGGAGTGGCCATCGCTCTGAGAGGAGTTCTGACCAGCATTCGGGCGGTCCTGCAACCCGGGGGGAACCAAGAGGTCAGCCGAGTCTGGGTGAACGGATCGGATGGCATCTGCGGCCAGTTTCTTCACATCTGCTGTGGGAAGGACCTTTACAAAAGATCCTTCCAGCCTACAGCCATCAGTATCTATAACATCACTTAATGAAACAAGGATTACGAGTTACAACAACATTTAATTTCCCTTTGGGATTAATAAAGTATTTTTGAATTGAATTGAATTTAAGCAGACATACCAACTGGTAACTCTGCAGAAACCCCTCCCCCAACTGCCACTGTCCATTACACCATTAGCTGAGGTTCTCATTGTGAGTTCCTGACTACAGTCATTAATATTGGCTGCAAGTAAAACTGCAGGTCCAAACAATAACAAACTTTTCTGTTTCTTAAGAATTTCTAAACCTGCCTATGTGATGTGTCTGACAGTCAGTGCTAATATTGTTAACTTTTGAGCTCATTACTGCAGCTTTATTTATATACAAGTATTAGGTCTAGAGTTTATATAAAAAAAAAAAACAACAGGTGCGGTATGGATTCACCACTTGCTCTTGACGAGATCGGATGCTTCACTCCCTCCCTCTCCGCTTTGCTGCTCTGTCTGTCTGTGAAATTGCTGTAAGACTCTCTTGCATTTCTTCCGAACCATAATTATGGACTGTTTTGATCAGTTTGTCCCTCAACTCAATTTACAACATTTCTTCGAAGAGAAGACAGGCTTTAGGCGAGCCGATTTGCCCTGTTGGCACGCACGCAGCTGGATATCTCATCGACTTGGAAGACTTGATGATGTGTCTATCTCTGCTGCCATCTGTGGATTTTAAGGACGCATATTTAGTTGGATTTTCGATAACTGGTTCCTGCTATTTTGGATTCGGCTGGTTGCTGGTTTTATCTACAATCAAGGAAGTCATCTGCAGCAAATTTGGACCCGATCACGCTGCTTGCCTTTATGATGTCTTGGTTCGTGTCTCGAGTACCCAGACTCAAATGCTTAGGGCTGAATAGATTAGATCTTGGGGATTTTACTCAGTCAGGTTCCATCGGTGTGGCGCTATTTTGGACATTTCGGAACCGAGTTGACCAACACAGACTCAAGGTAGATGTCTTTAAGTCCTGCCTGTCCCCAAAACAACTGTGTGTTTATCTAAATGTTGGTTCCCTTGGCTGGTCTTGAAGGCCATCTTATCTGAAATCTCCTGGAGAAAAGTGATCTGACGCTCACCACCCCCTCCCTGAGGAATTTCTAACTGATAACCAGATGAACCAGCTGAATAAACTTTGTGTAATCATTTCAGGACTCTTGGATTCTCATAGAGGTTATCCTTGGCCATTCCTCGACATACCTTGAGAATGTTTATGGATCTCACCAGAGGACATTGACTGATTACAGTGACCTCGAGAGCATCTATAAGCGTTGTTGACCGCTCTCGTCTCCGATTGCAGAATGTCTACGTAAATATGTGCTTGTTTGTGCGAGGTGTTTTTTTAATATTAGAGGTTTTTTTCCTCAGGCCAGAAAAAAAAAGTCTGATAAGAATTTTTTTTGCCTCCAACTCCTACATGTGTCCATTTAACCACTGTTTTTGTCTGTCCAAACAGGTCTCACTTGTAAATGAGTCTTCGAGGCTCAATGTGATTTATCTGTTTAAATAAAGGTTGAATGAATGGATGTTATGGACGAGCGGGGCTCCTTTAACGCTGGGCGGAGCTTCTGCTGGAGACTCACGGTGGGCGGGCTCTATTTGTGACAGCAGGAAGAAGCCGGAGACTGGCAGCGGCGGATTGTCTATTACTAACTTTTGAACTAACTTTTACATTAATGTACAGTTTAACTAACCAACAGTGGCAAGACTTAGCTGCTGGTTTTTTTTTTTTCTGAACTGATGTCAGGACTCTATAAAGAACAGAGAAATGCTGAAAAGTTTGTTTCCCCACCTGCCACAGGAAAAACAATCAGTATTTAGAAATCAAAATCCGTCTTAATTTGCTTTTCATTGCTTCTGAAAGCACATGAATTAGGGTGATTTGTGATTTACCCAGTTCATCTGCACTACTAGTTATATTTTAGCTAAGAGTTATTTTAAGCTACATTTTGTTGTAAAGTTATTGAAGTTTGTCAGGTAATTGTGAAATTAATTTCTGGCCTTTGAGCTCAGCTCAGAAAAAAAAAATAGATACAATGAAAATAAGTTAGTCATTGAGATTTCTACCACTCTTAACTTGTCACCTTTAGAAGAAACAGAAGCAATTTAAAATTATTATAAATAATCAGACACACTTTGAGCTTCTGAAATATGATCATAATTCTTATCTTTCCTCATCTTTCATTTAATATTTATTTTCCTTTGTTTCGCGTCAACAAATAGTTGAATTTGGTTGAGGATTTTATTTTTCCATTTTTTTCTATTGTCAAAAAAAAAAAAAAAATCCGACACAACCTTTATTATATTTATCAAGACATGATTATTTGTTCTCTGCCTTCTTCTTTGTCATGATGATGATGATGATGATGATGATGTTTGTTACTTTGTGGATTTCTATTCTTTAGTGTTGGACTGTTCTGCTGATAGTTTTTGCTCCATAATAATTTGTAACATCAGAGGATATTATGTTTTATCTGAACTGGTGAAGTGAATGTATTTCATAGTAATCCATTTCTCTAGTAGAAATGGCAGAGATTACAGTAAAACATTAAAACTACTAAAAAGAAATTGATGTTTGTGGTTTTGTGCATTAGTGCTGACCATCTCCAGGGTCCAGGATTTCAACAGTTGCTGTCGCAGGGGACTCCATCACTCCCATCACAGGCCCTGAAAGCAAAATCTGGAAGGTCTCCGCCTCCTCGTACTTCCCATCGGACAAGATCCGAACACGCCATGTGGCTCTGGTCTGTCCTGGGTTGAACTGGACCTGCCTCTGGGACTTCCCCTTGAAGTCCTCATCCTTCTTTGCACTGCCATCCTGAGTGGCAATGCCTGAAAGAGATCATGAGAAAAGCACAAAAGAGAAAAAAGTCAGCCATGTTTTTAAGTCTCGTTTAAAAACACACTTTAATTCCCTGACTTTCGATCCATTGTGAGTTGATTTTTGTCACGATCCTCGAGGTTGGAACCCAAATGCAGGGAGGCGAGGCGAGGCAGGAGTTCAAAAATAAAAATAATTTATTTTTTAAATGACAAAACAAAAGGCTGTCGGTGCAGCAAAACCTTACTTTGGCAGACAGGATCAGGAACTAGGCAGAGCAGATCATCAGATGGACAAAAAACTTACAGGACAGAGGAGGACTGAGACATCTGTGAACACAGAACAATCACCGGACAAAAAGTGAAGGAGAGACAGGCTTTTTATGAGACAGAGGGAGAGTGAGTAACGAGAGCACCTGGGCAGGTGGCTGATGAGGGACAGGTGTGAATGATAAAGATTGAGTGGAGAGGCAGACTGAGGAGTGAGTGGAGAATAACAGAATCAGATAAACAGAAAATCACACACAGAGCAGAACAACAAAAACATAAAAAGCAGACAGAGACAGAACCAGTCAAACAGAACTCAGAATGTAATTAAAGTGACACATTTACAAAGCACCTTAAAAAGGAAGGAAGTGATTTAGTTTGTGGGATAACAGGACCAGATACACAAAAGCAGAAAACACACAAAGAGCAGAGGCTTAGGCAGAAGGGGGGGGGGGCAGCGGGGGCCGCTGACCGTGACAGATTTTAACTTCATTGTGTTTTTATTATTCTATTAATTTAGCTTATTATCTTTACCTCTATGGATTTTATGTATTTTATTACGTGTTCTTTGCTATTTGTTTTGTTGTACAGCACTTTGGTTGGCCTTGCTGCTGATTTTAAATGCCTTATAAATAAAAAGGTATGGTATAAATATTAAAAAATATATTAAAATGCAGACAAAGCGAAGACAATGACCACAGGAGGGTGACAGGCAGGGAAAAAAGAAACAGATGAAAAGCTAATGAGATATTTACACCCTTTAATGTTGTCGCAAGTGGTGAGAAAATAAGAGATGAGTATATTTTGCTCAGAGCTTCAAAAATGTGAGAATAATTTTTATTGAAGCTTTAGAAATCCTATTCCATGTTACTGTTACAGCTGATCTTCAAGGATCAGATATGTCTGCATTTGAATTTGTGTCACACAGTTTTCCTTTAAACACTTCATTTCAAAATTCACGATTACTGAAACATTTGAGCTGATTAGAAAGTATCGGCTTCAGATTAAACACAAATTGAGAAATCCAGGTGTCACACCTGATAAAATAATGCATCACGTTTGGAAATGAGCAGTTCACATTCCTTTGTCATTCATACCTGCAAGATTACCATAACCATGCAAAGCTTGTGTCTGTTCACAAAAATGATTTGTTTTCTCATTTCAGACACTCCTAATGCCTGTACAAACAAAAGTGACAAAAACCTGCACATGGATTTGGGTGCACACTCACTGTGCACATTGTGTGTAAACCATACGCTGAAAATAAACATGCTTGCTACATCAGGCACTGACATGGTCATAGTAATTCATTTTCTGGATATGCCATGATTATTTTTCTTTGTTAAAAACATCTAGGGGAAAAATAGGTTTAAGAACAATCTGCATTTCTATATTTAATTTGTAAAGAGCACATGCTCTCTATGGCAATGGAGGTTTTTCAGCAAAACTAAAGAAAAGGAGAATAAAGAGGTCAACAATGAAACTGTAGTTTTTTTCCCCCTTCTTCTTTTGGCTGCTCCCTTCTTCAGGAGTCGCCACAGTGAACTAACTCGCACAAAGATTTGGCAATTATTTTTACAGCAGATGCTCTTCCTGATACAACCACAGACCACCACAGCCATCTGTGTGGAGCAGTGGGTGGAGTTAGGGGCCTTGCTCAAGGGCACAGAGTGTGACAAATGTGGGTGGAAGCAGATGCTTCACCATTTCCGCTCACATATTTGATGTTGTCGATACGGGGAGTTGAACCGGCAACCTTCCGATCACAGGCCTGCCACTTCTAACCACTGCGCCACCATTCCCCCATCAATAATCAAACTATATTTATCCAAGGATAAAAAACAAACAATATTTATATATACATACATATATATATATATATACATACATATATATATATATATATATATATATATATAGATATGTTTGGTGTAAAAGCAACACAGCTCATCACCCTGAACACACCACCCCCACTGTCAAACATGGTGGTGGCAGCATCATGGTTTGGGCCTGCTTTTCTTCAGCAGGGACAGGGAAGATGGTCAGAATTGATGGGAAGATGGATGGATGGGGCCAAATACAGGACCATTCTGGAAGAAAACCTGTTTGAGTCTGCAAGAGACCTGAGACTGGGACGGAGATTTATCTTCCAACAAGACAATGATCCAAAACATAAAGCCAAATCTACAATGAAATGGTTCACAAATAAACATATCCAGGTGTTGGAATGGCAAAGTAAAAGTCCAGACCTGACTCCAATTGAGAATCTGTGGAAAGAGCTGAAGACTGCTGTTCACAAACGCTCTCCATCCAACCTCACTGAGCTCGAGATGTTTTGCAAAGAAGAATGGGCAAGAATTTCAGTGTCTCCATGTGCAAAACTGATAGAGACATACCCCAAGAGACTTGCAGCTGGAACTGCAGCAAAAGGCGGCGCTACAAAGTATTAACGCAAGGGGGCCGAATAATATTGCACGCCACACTTTTCAGTTTTTTAATTGTTAAAAAAGTTTGACACATCCAATAAATTTCATTCCACTTCACGATTGTGTCCCACTTGTTAATGATTCTTCACAAAACATTAACATTTAATATATTTATGTTTGAAGCCTGAAATGTGGCAAAAGGTTGAAAAGTTCAAGGGGGCTGAATAGTTTCGCAAGGCACTGTAGATAGATAGATAGATAGATAGATAGATAGATAGATAGATAGATAGATAGATAGATAGATAGATAGATAGATAGATAGATAG